TTTATTATTTAAATATATAATAAAAATTTTTATCCTTGCATCGCACGTGCATCACACGAGTAATTGGACAATTATTTGTTCAAATTCAAGTAAGAATAACTTAAAAAAACATAATCGATCCAACTCATTTCATCAATTGCACTATATAATATTTGTTGTTATAATTTATATAATTGTATATTAACTAAAATATTCTTAAAATATTACAACAAATCCATTCCGTGCAATGCACGAGTGAAAATACTAGTTTAATATCAATAATGCAAACAAACTATTCAAATACTTATGCGCTTTAACAGATTCTTTAAACTAGCGAGACAATGCAATGAAGTGATGAACCGTGCTCAACTTGCTCCATCTCTAATTAAGCAATAGTTATATCATAGAACTGAGTACAAAATCCACAATTTATATACTAAATGTTCACAATTTTTCTTTAATAATATTATACTTTAATAATTATAATTTCCACGTGGTACTTAATAATTTTCATAATTATTAAGGAAATTATTAGTTATTTATGTTTCTATTAAAATTTCAAAAACGTATCAGCATTATTATTATGGATATATATTATTAGACAAGCATGAGAGCACTGCATAAAGCAAGGATTCATTTCGATTTTTTTCCATCCTCGGAGGAGAGAGGAAGGAGGGAGGAGGGAAAAAGCAAATACTCCTAAATAGAATTTTAAATAATAGAAATTATTTTCCTTGCAAAATAATTAATTGCATTACTATATTAACTTTATTAAGAAAATAACAAATTGTTGGGCTAAATGGAGAGATATATTCCAACTTATAATTTTAAGCTGTACTAGTAAAGTACCTCTGCAATGTATTGATAATTATTTTTATTATATATTTAGATAATACAATTAAATATGAAATTATAAACAATTTAATACGTGGTTAGGGCGAGTTTCACTCATCATCCAAAAAATAGAAAATATATAAAAAGAAATAAGAAGGCATTTTGTATAAAATTTCTTACCCAAATACAATAAAAAGTTTAGTGGAAATTGTTTAGTATTCCAAACACAAATCATTTAATAGGTGACATAATACAGTACTATGCCGTGGGTATACTCTGTTGTTTGCGCACCATCTCTTGTACCCTTAACAAAACACAATGTACAATAATTTTGCAAAACATAAACACTTAGCATAAATTGTTTCAATTCCTAGTTGTATAATGAGTGGATGGGACGAATAATTTGAGAGGATTATATTGTTAATGAATTAATGATAGGGTTGATAATGGATCGGAGTTAGCTTTCAACATGAATTGGAGTTGGGTAAAGTTTGGGAGATTATGTTGAATGAGCGGCGGCGTGCGGCGGCGGTAGATGAGGGATGCCACATGCATCAAAATGCTCGCCGTTAAACCTCCGATCACATATCTCTCTTTCTCTGAAGTTTGATGCTCAAATCTGTCACAAACATATTTCCATCCTTCCCATTCCTTCTCCACTCTTGTATGAATATCACCCTCCTGCAAGCAATTTTTTTAAGTATTATTGACTCTGTTACAATGCATTATCGGTTCATAATTGGACATATATATGCATTAAAAAAAAGAAAAAGTGACATAGAAGGGCCGGGAGTAACTTAATAATATATATAGTGTGGAGTTAATTAATAAGTAACAATGTACGACCTCAAGAAACATCTCCAAAGGGACATCAAAGATAGCATCAACTTCGTCGCTATTGAGTACTGGCTTGAATTCTTCAACTTTAGCCAATAGCCCCACTACTGGCACAACTGTAAGTAGATGCTGCATATATGCACAAGTATGTATATGTATGGACACTAATTAACGTACGTAGTGCAAGTGCATAATTAATGTTTTTAACAAGAAATGACACTAAAGAAAAAAAAAAAAGTTGTACCAGTGAAATGAAAGGATTTAGATTTGCGACGATGTGTACAAGACTGGGATGTAATCCTATCTCTTCCTTTGCTTCTCTCAGAGCTGTGGCGGAATCGTCTGCGTCTTCTTCATCCATCCTCCCACCCGGTAATGCCACTTCTCCTTAATCATGCATGGTAATTAATAAGTACACTCTCAAAAATAAAATAAATTAAATTTAAAAAAAATCGAAAGAAAATTGATCTTAATGGATGGATAAATTTCATTAATTTGTATTTAGATGAAGACTTAGTGGATACCTGGATGAGTAGACAAATTCATGGATCTCTTGGTGAGAATTACGCGTAGTTTTCCATCGCGCCCTTGAAAGAGGCATACAAGAACAGCTGCTCTTCTCTCTCTGCAACTATTAACACCATAAAACGCAAGACTTGATGAACTCTTCTCACGCGTATCAGCACAGTCGTAGTCAATATTCGTCGCCTTTCCATTATTTTCCCTAGGACTTTTTGTGACGATTTGCAGCCTCTCCACGAGATTCTGGATCGCCAACGTTTGGTGTTTGTGACGATTATCAACCTCGTCGTCGCAGCTCACGAACTTTGAAGGAGCAAGGCAGGCCATGGCCAAAATTTTTGGTCTGATATTCAAAATAAGTAGGCCGGCGTGAGCTTAAATAGTTAGCTTAGTGTATATTAAGAGGCAGTTGGAGATGCTGGAAAAAGAAAATATAATGCACCAAATCACGAGTAGTGTGAGAATGATGCTTTAGTGTAAAAAAATAAAAATTGATATCAACCATATAAATAGGCGTTGACACTTCGGTTCGTGTTACCGAATCAAATTTACTTGATTTCAATTTATTATACAAAATTGAACCCTTTCTACAAAATTGAACTGTCCCAATCTAGAATAGAATTAGTGAAGTCTAATTGGCATTAAATGTTAACCTATTATTCCATCCGGAATTGCGGTTCTCACACGGCCTATTAATTATATTATTAATTAGTGCCTCAAAATGTAACATAACAACAAATTTTTACTTAATAATGGCACGTATTCATCTCACGGTTGATTTATATTTATTAGTTCTACTAGTATAGGATGTTTGGCCTAAGTCATTAACTACGAATTAATTATTTCTTCATTATTGCCATCAAATTTTGCCTTTGATCTAGGCATGAAATTATCAGCTTATCACATTTGTATATTGGCAAAAGCAATCGTAAGCCATTGGTGCATAAAAGTAAGTATTTTAATTTACAAATTAATTTATATAACTTAATAACTTTATTGGAAGTATTTGATATTAGAATTTTAATATATATATATATATATATATATATATATATATATATATATACTTCCATTGGAAAGAAATAATATAATGGAGTAATAATGTAGAAATTCAAATTATATTATTTGATTAGTGCAAATATAATTATTAGAAATTTCTATTATTGTGTTTGGTTTACATGAGAATTGAAATGCCTACGTGTAGTAGTAATAATAATAATAATAATAATAATAATAATAATAATAATAATAATAATAATAATAATAATAATAATAATAATAATAATAATAATAATAGCATCCTCCCAAATGTTCTGTCGGGCCGGGGTGTGGGGGGCCCTTAGGGTTGGGGTTCAGCCTTTTGGAATAATAATAATAATAATAATAATAATAATAATAATAATAATAATAATAATAAAAAATACATGTAATAATAATAATAATAATAATAATAATAATAATAATAATAATTTATAAACTAAAATGAATTACACTTAATGGATTATAATAACTTATAAATTAGGAATAAGAGTCAAATAGGACACTCAACTGCACACCAAACTGCAATTAGGCTATCCAACTCAAAAAAAAAAAAAAAAAAAAAAAAAAAAAAAAAAAAAAAAAAAAAAACAATTGGGTCCCTGAACAACACAAAATCATGCAATTAAACTAAAAAATAACTTGTTTACCTGAAAGGGTGGTTACTGATTTTTAAATTAATTTTTTAAAATAATTTTAATTAAAATAATTAATTAATTTTAGAGGCAAAAAAAACTAAATAAACTAAACTAAATTGCCGGCTGGCTGTTCAATTTTTTTTTTAAAATTAATTATTTATTTTATTTAAAATTATTTTTTAAAAATTAATATTAATATCGGTAATCGCTCTTTCAGGTAAACATGTCATTTTAGGTCTACTTGCATGATTTTGTGTTGTTCAAAGACCTAATTGCATTTTTTTTGAGTTCGATGGCCTAATTGGAGTTTGATGTGCAGTTGAGTGGCCTATTTGACCCTTATTCCTATACTAGTTTTTTCCACGCGCATTGCGCAATTGGGATAATGCCCAATGTTTATTTTTAAAGTATATCAAGACAAGATTATATTGGAGTTGTTTATGCATACATAATTGAATGTTGAATTTGCGTATTTAAATAGGTAATTCTAAGTTTACAAATGCAAGATAATATAATCAAGATGGATTATCATTGTCAATAAAATAATTGTATGGGTAAGGTTGAAACCAAATACAGGCCATAAGGGAGAGCAAATAAAGATTATGGCATAAGATATTAAATATATACTAATATAGTTTGAGGGGATTCTGTCATAAGATTGAGTTTGAGGAGGTGCCAGCAATCCGGCATATTGCAGCGGCAATTTATTTATACAAATAATATTATAGAAAGATGATAGGAGATGTACAAACATACCTGCAGAATTTCCTATTGATGTTGTGCCTAACCAGACTAAGTCTCAACACAGAATTCCCCGTTGATGTTGTGTGTTGCATAATGAATTAGGTTTAATTTGTACTTCTATGTTGTGCCTAATCAAACTAATTCTCAACACAGAATTCCCTAATTCCCCGTTGATGTTGTGTGTTGCATAATAATTTAGGTTTGTACTTCTAACCAGTGGGCAATGGTTTAATATATAGACTAATAGTGTAGTTATAATTCTATAAGGATTTGTACTAGTGGGCAATGGTTTAATATATAGACTAATGGTGTAGTTATAATTCTATAAGGATTTGTACTAGTGGGCAATTGTTTAATATATAGACTAATGGTGTAGTTATAATTCTATAAGGATTTGTGGTTATAGTTCTATTAAGACTTTAATATTAGAATTAGACTAATGATGTAGTTATAATTCTATATTACATTTTAATTATTAGAATTAGACTAATGGTGTAATTATAATTCTATAAAAATAAGGATTTCTGGGTTAGAGTTATATAAAGACTTTAATATTAGAATTCTATAAGGAATTCTATTACGTTCACAAATAATATGCTTTTAATATATTAAAAATGTGTTTTTTTTTTTTATTATTTATGATCCACACTTATGTGGAACATGGTTCATGTAATAATTATTGTCAAGTAGTTAGTACTCAGCCAAACATTAATGGCCCAAAGTTGTTCGGACCAGACTGTCAATATTCACGGCCCATGGGCTTAAAGCGGCTTCACTCGCTTTACTTATGGGTTATGCCCAAAACAAGACAAAAATATTAAATATTTTCCATGTTTGGTATATCCAATTGTTATGCTATGGACCCGTGCATGCTGGACACGGTAACGGTGCCGTTAGTGACACCGCTCTCTTTCACTTTTTTTTTAAAAAAATAAAATAAAATAAAATAAAATTTCAAAGCATTTTGTTATAGGAGTATATGTTCATAATCTTATCATTATATGTTCATAATTGTAAGTTCATAATGTAAGAGATCTGTGTTCATAATTGCATAACTGTACATTCATAATTCAATAACTGTAAATTCATAATTTTCGAAACTCTATGTTCACAATTTTAGAGCTCTATGTTCATAATTTTATCACTATATGTTCATAATTGTAAGTTCATAATGTCAGAGCTCTGTGTTCATAATTTCATAACTTACATTCATAATCGCATAACTGTACATTCATAATTGCATAATTGTACATTCATAATTCCATAACTGTACATTCATAATGCCACAAACGAATAAAGTCGTTAACGCCGTTAACGATGAGACAAAATCAATTTTTTTTTTTTAATTAGAAGGCCGCGTTTTCCCTTAAAACGACGTCGTTTTGGACTCGTGTGCATTGTGGACATGAGTCCACAGCATAATTTGCCTGGTATATCCTATATAATATTATAGGAAAAATGATAACATTGGTCTTTTAACTAATACAATAAGATATTATGTTATATAGAGAGGATTCAGGTAAGAACACGTTCTTTGTCAAAGTGAAAATATATATAACGATAAAATAATTATTCTTAAAAATTTGAGAGTACCTAATATGTATCGTCCCCATCAAAATGAAAATTTCTTTTTCAAAACAATAACTCACTCCTAACAATACTATTCTCATAAATAAAAGTGTAAACTAAATAATAGTATAGGCATGTTAGTGTAAATATAAACGCTATGAATGACCCTAACATGTAATAGGTTTGTTTGTTTGTTTGTTTGTTTGTTTTTTTTTTTTTTTTAAATTATGGAAAATCAATGGAACAGTTGCAATGATGAAGAAGAGGCTTTGAGTAGCTTGGAACCCTCAACACTAATAGTGGAATGTGTTGAAGTCGTTTTCTCCCTTTGTCTTATTACAAGGATCATATTTATTCTAGATATTTTAAGGTTGCAATATACGATTAGTTAGGAATAAGGGAATTTTGATATATGCTCGTGCCCACTACGATACATCTCAATGGATAATTTAGTGTGTAATTAACTTTGACGTCATCCTAAATGTTGAATATCTTGGACATATATGGCCTGGGATTAGCTGCCTATCTAGTTCTGCCTTAGATATTGCCTTATCAATAACATAACCTTTACGAGCGGCAAGGTCAAATTGTTGAGCTAGATGTGGGACTCATTAGTAATTCCTCCGACAAGGTCTATACGCAAGAATATTATTTTATTTATAACTTATTTCTTGAACGAAACATGTAATTAGCTTCTCAATAAAGTCTAACCTGGTATAATAATTGATCGAGAGCTAACAATGCATGATATAAACCCTCTCCACAATCAAAGAAGAGGCCAGTAGGGGAGAACCAAATCATCTCGTTATGTTTCACTTCCGTTACGTTTTGACACATGAAGAAATCATCATGTCATTTCTATATATATAGTTCCTATTTTGCAATGTTGTAAAAGTGACATTCAAGTAAAAGGTTACTTTTCAACCAAAAAAAAAAAAAAAAAAAAAGATACGATAGTAAACTGATTAAAACTGAAATGTAGGAACAATCTAAGGTTGGTGAATTTCACCTTCCTTAATTAAAACTGAAATGTAGGTTGGTGAACAAGCTAAAGTTTCAATTCCTAGGTTTCCATCTCTATTACAAGGTTATCACATTAGTTAACGGATATATCTATGCCTGTAAGAATGTCATTTTCCTTCAAGATAAGATATACTCCATTTAGGGTCCGTTTGGAAACTCGAAAAATGACTTTTGTAAAAAATTGTCTGAGTTTTTAGTGTTTGGATTCAGTAGGAAAATCCAGTCAACGAAAAACATTTTTCTTTGACTAGGAAAGATGTAGGCATTTTAGTGTTTGCCTTTAAGTCATTTTCTGCCAACACTCAAAACATGGTTT